AGATCCATATCCTTAATGAACATAGACGCAAAAATTCTCAACAAGGTACTTGCAAGACACACATCAGAAAGATCATCCACCATGATCAAGTAGGCTTTATTCCAGAGATGCAGGGATGGTTCAAGATAGGCAAGTCAATAAACATCATAAATCATATAAATGGACTCAAAGACAAAAATCACATGGTCATCTTAACAGATGTAAAAAAAAAAGCCTTTGACAATAATCAGCGTGCATTTATGATAAAAGTCTAAAGGGAACTGGACTGGAGGGAACATACCTCAACATAATTAAAGCTATGGATAACAAACCCACAGCCAACATCATCCTAAAGGGAAAAAGAACTGGAAGCATTCCCATTAAAATCTGGAACCAGACAAGACTGTCCACTATCTCCACTCCTTTTTAATCTAGTACTTGAAACTCTTGCTAGAGCAATAAGACAAGAGAAGGAAATTAAAGGAGTACTAATTGGAAAAGAAGAGGTCAAATTATCCCTTTTTGCAGATGATATGATACTATACCTAAGAAATTCCCAAAATTCCACTAGAAAACTCCTAGAACCTATTGACACTTTCAGTAAAGTGGCAGGTTATAAAATTAATTTATAAAAATCAGTAGCCTTTCTATATACCAATAATAAGCAGTGAGAAAAAGGGTACAGGGAAACTTTCCCATTCACAATAGCCTCAAAAAATAAAAAGTATCTTGAAATAAACCTGACCAAAGACATCAAAGACCTCTACAATGAAAAATTTTTTTTTAATTTATTGAATTTTTGTGTATTTCATGTAGAAAATCATCTTTATACCCCCTTCCCCTTTGGCACCCTCCCATGCTCCCCCCTCACTGGAATTCATACCTTCTGTCATTTGTGTTAAGGTCTATCATGTAAAGTTAGTGTTCCCAGATGTTCTTCAGTGCAAGATCAACCACTGGGATCTAGTCAGTCTATCTAGAGTCCCTCCCTTTAAAAAGATTAGCTCATTCTCACCCAATAGTAATCAACTGCCAATAATTCTTTGACTAAGATTGGGGCCTGCTGTTCATTTCCCTAGTTCTGTGCTGGGCTTTTGTCTGTTTAAGTTTTCATGGCTCTTGTGTATCCTGACACCTTTGCTTCTACAATGAAAATTTTAAATCTTTAAAGAAAGAGATTGAGGAAGACACCAGAAGATGCAAGGACCTCCCATGCTCATGGATTGGAAGAATTAATATTGTGAGAATGACCATCCTGCAAAAGCAATATGTTAGATTCAAATGCAGTCCAGTCAAAATCCCCATGACATACTTGACAGAATTAGGGGAAAAAAAAATCCTTAAATGAATATGGAAGCACAAAGACCACAAATGACCAAAGCAACTCTGAACACAAAGAGCAATGCTGAGGGGATTACAATACTAGATCTCAAACTATACTGCAGAGCTCTAGTCATAAAACCAGCTTGGTACTGGCACCAAAACAGACACATAGATCAATGGAATATAATTGAAGACTCAAACATGAGTACATGCAATTACAGCCACCTGATATTTGACAAAGGTGCCAAGAACACACAATGGAGGAAAGACAGCATCTTCAGCAAATGGTGTTGGCAAAACTGGATCTCTAACTCTAGAAGAATGAAAGTAGCTCCTTATCTTTCACCTTGCACAAATCTCAACTCTGAATGGATCAAAGACCTTAATATGAAACTTGAAACTCTGAAGCTGTTAGAAGAAAGCATTGGCAGTAACTTACAAGATAATATGTGTAGGAAAGGACTTTCTAAATTGGACACCAGTTGCTCAGGAATTAAGGTAAACAACCGGGACCTTATTAAACTAAAAAGCTTCTGTACAACAAAAGAAATAATCAAGAAAGTGAACAGAAAACCCACAGAGTGGGGAAAAAAATCTTCATTAGTGATACAGCTGACAGAAGTTTAACATTCAAAATATATAAAGAACTTTAAAAAAAAATCAAGAAAACAAATAACCCATTTAAAAGATGGGATAAAGATCTAAACAGAGTTCTCAAAAGAAGAAATAAAGATGGCTAAGAAACATCTTAAAAAGTGTTCATCATTGTTAGTAATTAGGGAAGTGGAAATTAAAACCATGTTAAGATTTCACCTTACCCCAGTCAGACTGGCTAAGCTCAAGAGAACAAATAATACCAAATGCTGGCAAGGATGTGGAGAAAGGGGAATGCTCATTCACTGCTGGTGGGATTGCAAACTTATGCAACCCTTATGGAAAGCAGTGAGGAGAACTCCTAAAAAACTAAAAATGAACCTACCATATGACCCGGTTATATACCACTCCTTGGCATATACCCAAAGGGCTCATCCTATTTCAGAGATACTTGTACAACCACATTTGTTGTTTCACAGTAGCTAAGAGATCGAAGCAACCTAAGTGCCCCTCGACTGACAAGTGGTTAATGAAAATGTGGTACATTTACATGATGGAGTTCTACTCAGTAGTAAAGACAGATGAAATAATGAAATTTGCAGGTAAATGGATGGATTTAGAAACTGTTATACTAAGTGAAGTAATACAGACTCAGAAAAACAAAAGATATACGTTCTCATTTGTAGATCCTAGCACCAAATCCTTTCACGTGAGTACATATCCTGATGTAACTGCAGGAACCAGGAAAATGGAAGGGAATCAGGGAGGTAAAGGGAAATAAGGAACCTGAGAGAAAATAATAGTAGGAGACAAATGTTACTAAGGGAGAAATGTGTAAAAAGGGGGTAGTTAAATGGGAGGGTGAGAGGGAGGGCTATACAAGGAACTGTGGGAATAAAGGAGAAGAAGGAGCTCAAGAGAGGTGGGACCATAGCAGACAAAAATTATCAAGGGAGAAATGTGGAAAGTGGGGACACTTTAAATGGGGAAGGTGGGAAGGGAGGATAAGACAGGGAGAGAAAAAGGAGAGATAAATAGTGCCTAGTTAGTATAAAAAACCAGATGGAGGAGCTGGAGAGATGGCTCAGTGGTTAAGAGTACTGACTGATCTTGCAGGGGACCCAGGTTTGATTCCCAGCACCCACATGGTGGCTATGAACCGTCATTAACTCCAGTTCCAGGGGAATCTGAAGCCCTCTTCTGACCTCCATGGTATTTCACGACATGGGTGCACTCACATACATACAGGTAATACCCTTGTACACATAAAATAAAAATAATTAAAAAGAATCCTGCTTAAAAAAAAAACAACAAAAAACAACCCAGAGGGAATTGTTTTAGTCCAAAAACCTACTGAAAAATTAAACATACACTATCTCTACATGAGTCCATGACTATAGCTGAAGGCTGCATAACAAGAAACAGTGCCAGACTGGAGAAACCTTCCTTTGAGTTGTTTGCTAGGGTAGTCCCAAGAGACCCCCAAAATTACACAGACTATTGCCACAGCCCTTGATTGCCTCCCAGAACTTGATAGACCCTATTGTTGAAGACAGGACATACTTTGGACACAGGATTTGGAGCAACGGAGCTGGAACTTACCTAGAAGCCACCTCCCCTGAAGGCTAGCTCATAACTTTGGAGAGCATTACGCAAGCTGATAAGGGAAAACATCAATCAATGGTTCAGCCCCAGCTTCAAGGTTAACCACATCAATGACCAGCACAGAAAACGACATTGGTACAGTAGTAGCACTTTTATCTTGGGGGTAATCAACAACTACCTAATTGAACTTAAAGCCCATCAATGGGAGGAAACTCATGTGTGGTACAGTAAACCTAGCCAAATATACATAGCTGGAGAGATCATAGATCTTAGAGAAAACTCCAAGGCTGTCACATCCCTAGACAAATGTAATTTACTATTTGAAAAATATGGATCCTTAAATTTATAGACATGTATCCCAATTACTACTTATCAAAGAAGCTTCTTTTTCAAGAGACAGAGATAATTACTGAGTTCCATAGCTGATCACACACAGAGATTGTGAATTGCCCAAGCCTAAGTGGCACATCTAGGATGCAACCTCTATACCTAAGGCTCACAGAACATAGAATAGGGGATGAAGAGAACACTAATGCATCTTTCATTTCTCATCAATGAAGCTCCCTCATGCAAAAGAGGGCCAGGAACACAAAAGGTCACAAATGACCAAAATGCAGAGAATAAGAGTCTATACAGTGTGGGTCCTTGGACAGGACTCATGTATTAAAGTCCACCCACTCGGGGCTCAGGGATCATTGTGAAAGAGGGGGAAGAAAGATTTTTAGAGCCAGGGAGGAGGTGCATGATCATATGAAAATAGTCCTACAGGTTCCTGGGACTCTTTTCATATGAACCTACAGTAATGGTGTCAGCATACATAAGACCCATGCAAACTTAAACAAACAAAAACCTAGCATACAACTGTGGAAATGGACAGCAGGCCCCAATCTTAGTTGAAGAATTATTGGCAACTCTTTAACTGCTGGGTGAAGAAGAACTGGTCTTCTTAAAAGGAGGGACTCTAGATAGGTTGACTAGATACCAATGGATAGACTTGTACTGAGGGACATCTGGGGACAATAACTTGACATGATAGGCCTTAACACAAATGACAGAAGGTATAAATTCCAGTGGAGGGGGGATATGGGAGGGTGTCATTGGGGAAGGGGCTATAAAGATGATTATGATGTTCTGTATGAAATACACAAAAATTCAGTTAAAAAAAAAAAGCCAAACAAACCAGAAAGCACTCAGGCTATGTTGGTTCATGCCTATAATCCTAGCTCTAGGGAGGTGGAGGCAGAAAGAACAGGATTTCAAGGTCATCCTCAGCTACCTACTGAGGTTGAGGCAATCTTGGGTTGTGTGAAACTGTCTCAAAACCAAACCAAAATGAAACAAACTGCGAAAGCTCTAGAAACCTGAAGGTTATGGTCACTTAGATACAAAAATAAATTAAAACCAAGACTTGTACTTGAACCATTCTACAAAATACCACACTCTGATGCTTTCTTCAGATTTTGCTGTCACCTCTGAACAGTCTTGAAATCTGTTTCTAGGTTCAGTTTCAGAAACTTCAGCAACTGCGCCTTACACAGTACCATGGTGGATCCTTACCAAACGTCAGCCAGCTGCGGAGCAACACATCTGAGTTTCAGGTACCTCCAGATACTTACTTTAGTGACGCTGAATGGAGGGGGAAAAGATAGGCAGAGATTAGCCCTGAAAAGATTAGATTTTGAAGAATAAACTGGGCCTAAGTGCAGTTCAGTCTTTTGGGAAGTCCACCAGTATTGTCTTTCATAGTTTCTACCAGTGAAGTACTGTTACTTCACAAATGGTCAAAGGCAGCATGTCTAGTTGAAATACATGAAGAGTGTTTTCCTGGAATGTACAAGGTCCTGGGTTCCATCTTTAGTGTTGTCAAAAAAAAAAAAAAAAAGGAAGAACTGTAACTTGAACCACACACATAGACACTGACACACACAAGAGTTTTCTACTTGCCACACTAAAGAAAAATAAAGTGGTGGGATTAATTTTAGTATATTTTTAGCAGGTTTTTTTTTTTTGCTTTTCTTTAAAAATTGTGTGGTGTATATGCTGTTGTATATATGTGCCTGTAGCATTCAGAGGGCAGCTTTCAAGAATGAGTCTTTCCTTCTACCTTGGATTCTGGAATCAAACTCAGATTGTCAGACTTGTGTGTCAAGTTCTTTTACCCCCTGATATCCTGCTGGCCCCTGTTTTGTTTTTTTGAAATGTGGTCTCACTATATAGCCCTGGCTGCTCTGAAACTTGCTATATAGAACAAGCTGGCTTCAAACTTAGGGTGATCTTCTTTCCTCTCTCTTTAGTGCTGAGATCACAGAAATGCATCACCATATCTGGCTTTGTTTTTTTATTTTGTTTTATTTTATTTTTTGTTTTTGATACAGGTTCTCACTGTCTAGCTGAAGCTGGCCTTGAGCAGCTATGTAGCTGGGGATGACCTTGGACCTTTGATCCTCCTGCCTCTGTCTCCAGAGTGCTGGGATTATAGGGGTGAGCCACCACTCTGTTTATGCCATGCTAGGAATTGGACCTAGGGCTTTTGTGTGTGCTATGCTAGACAAACACTGCCAACTGAGCTCCAGCTCCAGCCCTGGACTTAAGTTCTTGATCTTCCTACCTCAGCCATATATGAGTCCTGGGATCACAGGCTTATGCCAGTATGCTCAGTTTCATTTAAATAATTTGAATAATTATTTAACTCAAGGTATCCAAAATATCATTTCAACATGTAATCAACATTTAAAACATATTTTATATATTGGGTTTTTTTTGTGCTTTTTGTGTGTGTGGTTTTGTGTGTTTTGTTTGTTTGTTTGAGACAGGGTCTTCCTGTAGCCCTAGCTGTCCTGGAACTAGCTTTGTACACCAGGCTGGTCTCAATCTCCTAGAGATCCCCCTGCTTCTGCCTCCTGACTGCTGGAATTAAAGGCATGTACCACCATGCCTGGCCCTCACATTGTTTTTATGTTGTCTTTGAAAGCCGTTGTATATTTTATACTTAAAGCACTCCTGGGTCTGAACTACTCATATGTTATCAGCCTCATGTGACTAATGACTGCCTCACTGGACAGGTGGGTTAGAGTTATAGATAACCATCTTAGTGCACTGAGATTAGTGTAATTACATATGGTGCTTTAATCATTTACTAGAAGAACCTTACTCAAAACAATGTGAAATTGGTGTTTCAGACAGTAGTGCTGGATACTGTAGTTAAGATCTGAATTAGACCTCCTTTGCTATCCTACTCTCAGAAGTTAGAAGCCTGTCATTTCAATTAAACAAGTGGGGATTTGGTGTTAGAGTTGAGATGTCAACTTTAAGATGACGCATCATAACTCTTTTCCTTTGGGTACGCCTCCATTTTATTTTATTTATTTATTATTTTATTTATTTATTTGTTTATTTGTGTGTGTGTGTGTGCACTTTGTGCATATGGGTGTGCAGGTGTGTGCATCAGAGGCCAGAGGAGGACATCAGATGTCTTCCTCTGTCACTCTCTGCCTTATTCCTTTAAGACTCTCAATGAACTAGAAACTTCAGCTAGGCTGGCTGGCTAGCAAGCTAGCAAGCTCTCAGGATGTGCTTATCTCCTCCCCCAGTGTTGGGGTTACAGGCACACATAGCCATGCCCAGATTTTTATGTAGGTACTAGGAATCTGAACTCACATTCTCATACTTGCACAGCAAGTAGTTTTACCCACTGAGCCATCTCCCTAGCCCTCCCTCCATTTTAAAAGCTGTCCTATTTGTTGAAGAAATTGGGTTAACTTTTTTATGTTACCGAAAATATTGTGGAACATTTTGAATTTAAAAAAAATTATTATTTTTATTTTATGTGTATGAGTATATTGCCTGCATGGATATAAGTGCACCTGTGTTGTGTAGTGCCCATGAAGGTCAGAGGAAGGCATCAGATGCCCCTGGAACTGGAGTTAGGATGGTTGTTAGCTGCCATATGGGTGCTGGGAATCAAACTTGGGTTCTCTGAGTGCTGTTAACCACGGGGCCATCTCTCCAGAACCACATTTTGGATTTTTATTTTTATTTTTATTTTATTTATTTATTTATTTAGACTAAAGGCATGTGCCACCATGCCAGGCTTTTGGATTTTTAATTATAAAGTTTTTGCATATGTATATGTGGATTGTGTGTGTGTGTGTGTGTGTGTGTGTGTTTGTGTGTTTGTGTATGTTTGTTAGCGTGAACATGCAGGTGCCGTGGCATATGTGTGGAAATCAGAAGACAATCTCAGTGGTCAAACAGGGTTTCTCTTTTTTATTTGTAATTTATTTTAAAAAAAATTTTATGTTTTGGTCTTTTTGAGGCAGGTTCTCCCTATAGCCCCAGCTAGCCTAGAGCTCACTATGTAGACCGGGCTGGCCTTGAACTCACAGAGAATCACCTGCCACTGCCTTCTGAGTGCTGGGATTAAAGGCATATGCCACCATACCCAGCAATTTATTTATTTTTATTTATGAGTGTTATGCCTGCATGTGTTTAAGTGTACCCATGTCATGCAGTGCCCACAGAGGACAGAGAAGGTGCGAATCCCTTGGAACTGGAGTTATGAACTGTTGTTAGCCACCATGTGAGTGCTGGGATTCAAACTGGGGTCTGTACAAGAACAGCCAGCGCTCTTAACTGCTGACTCATCTCTCCAGCCCTGAGACAGGGTCTCTTGTTTGCTGCTATAGCTGGCCTGAAAGCTTCCAGAAATTCTTCTGTCTCTGTCTCCCATCTCACTGTTGGAACATTGGGATTATGGACCAGTTCCACTGTGTCCAGCTTTATTTGGGTTCTGAGGATCTGAACCTCAGGTCCTTATGATTTGGTGGCAAGTACTTTACCCACTACTTAGTAGAGATCACCAAGCCATCTCCCTAGCCTGAATTTTGGGTTTTTGAATTAGGAATGCTCAACCAGTTAAGTCTTTGCTAATATTCAAAAAAATCTGAGAAAGCCGAAATCTCTGGCACTTCCGTTTTTTAAGTCTTCAGGTTAGGAATACTTAACCTATATTGCTTTTTTACTTTAAAACAATCATAAACTTACCAAAAAGCTAGCGATCCAGTACAAACAACATTTTTTCCTGGAGAATAAGTTGGTAACCTGATGCCCTGTCACCCCCTAGATCTTTCACTGTATTTCCTACAAGCAAGGACATTGTCCTGTGTGACATTGAAACAGAACCATCAAAGTCAGAAAAGTACCAATGATCACGAGATGACTGCTGTCCCATTATTGTCCTTTATAGCAAAAGACCCAATTCAGAATCACACATATTTAGTCACTGTCTATAGTCTGTCTCCTCTGGAACTTTTGAGTAATTTAATATTAAAAATTATTTTTGGGGCTGGGGAGATGGCTCATTAACGAAGTGCTTGCCGTGCTGGTATGAGGACTAGAGTTTGATTTCCAGAACTCACATAAAAGTGAGGCAGGTAAGACCAGGCTTGGTGGTGTATGCTTTTAATCCCAGAGCTCAGGAGGCAGAGGTGGGTGGATCTCTGTGAGACCGAGGCCAGCCCAGTCTGTGTAGTGAGTTCCAGGCCAGCTGGGGCTACAAGGGAACCCTGACTCAAAAAAACAAAGCAAAACCAAACAAACAAAAAGTGAGGTAGGTATGGCCACGGCCTGTAATCCCAGCATCATGCAGTGGAGATGAGATCCCCGGGCAAACTGGTAGGCAGACAAGCTGGACTTTCTATGCTCTATGTTCAGCAAGAAAATTGCTTCAAGAAATAAAGTGGAGGGATTGAGGAAGACGCTTAGTGCCAACTTCAGGTCTCGACTTGCTCAGGCACACATTTGTATGTACACCCCCCCCACACACAAACGTACCTATACACATGCATACCTGTGAATGCATGCCAATATGCAAGAATTGTTATCTTTGTTTTTTGCTGTGTAGCTCAGGCTGGTATCAAACTGTCTTTCTGCCTCATTCTTCAGTTGTTGGGATTAAAGGTTTGTGTCACCATGCCCAGTCAAGAAATTATATTTAGTTGAGAATGTAGCTCAGTTGGTAGAGTGCCTGCCTAGCGTGTGTGAGGCTCTGGGTTGCATTCCCAGAACCACATAGACTGGGTAGGAGAATCAGAAGTTCAAGGTCATCCTTGGCTACAGAGTATGTTTGAGGCCAGCCAGGGATATATAAGACCCTGATTGAGCTGGGTGTGGTGGCACATGTCTTTTATCCCAGCACTCAGGAGGCAGAGGGAGAGGCAGGTGGAGCTCTGTGAGTTCGAGGCCAGCCTGATCTACATAGCGAGTTCCAGGCCAACTGGGGCTACAGGGAGACCCTGTCTCAAAAATACAAAAAAAAAAAAAGACCCTGACTTAAAAAATTTGTTTACCTTTGTGACCTTGCTTTTTTTTTTTTTTTATAAAAAAAAAACAATTACAGGCTAATTATTTTATAGAATACTCCAATTGTTTGTTTTGTTTTCTTTTTATGAGACAGGGTCTCCCTGTAACCCCAGCTGGCCTGGAACTCACCTATGTAGACCGGGCTGACTTTGATCTCATAGAGATCTACCTGCTTCTGCCTCTCGAGTGCTGGGATTAAAGGTGTGAACCACCATGCCCAGCTTCCTAGTTGTTTTTA